TGATAACGAGAACTGCTTAAACCTAAAGGAGGAAGTTATCAGATGGGTGAACCAGTTTGTGCAAGAAGTGCTTCAGGAATGAAGCTCGTATGATTTTGTTTTTGAAATACTGAAATATACAGGATTTCCAGAATGCCCCGCCCTCACCAGCTTTACAGATTAGATAGAGATTGTCCATGTTCCAATTCCTACAATAACGATGCTAGATTTGGTTTTGAGCCCATTATTCAGCCCCGAGACTTGTTTACTTTCTGAACAGACTCAAGGAACTTTCCTCATTTCTCTGACAGTAGGTCTTGGGTTTGGATCCTTGCTGAACAAAACTTCTAGCTTTTCACAGAGAGCGCGCATCAGAAAAATTGTAAGTTCGCTAGAACAGTGCTCGCCCATCCGTACCTCTAGGAAGGCTTGCGAAGAGCCTGTTGGTACGTGCTGGCATGACCTTGACTGATTTCATACGCTTTACGGTTGGAAGTTCTTCACAGATCCGAAAGAGAAAGGGTCGTCCCACAACTTCGGTAAGCAGATCAGTACCCGAAAATGCACGGGAAAAGTACAGCTTATTGCAATTGACCACTTCGCCCTTGGAACCCTTCCTGGTAAGTTTTTGTCCCCCAAGCTATATGACCTTGTTAGACCTGTTCGATTTGGCTGGTGCAGGAAATTGTGGATTGCAGCAATACTACTTCGTGTGCCCGAATCACGCAGTCGCCATGAGCTTTCGAGCTGGCGAGCAGGCTAAATGCTCATGAATTAAGCTTGTTAGGCGTGTGTAGTAGTGACAGCTGACGTTTTAGCTTGTTTTACGGAAATGTTTTCTTGATTATCGTGCAATCTTTGAGCATAATATCTGCAACATTAAGGTCTAACCCTCACGGAAAAGTGGAACACTGAAAACCAGCTGGGCACAATAATCGAAGTAAATGAGCAGTTTGGACGCGGTCTTAAACTCACTTTTGATTCTCTCTATGCTCCACATGCTGGTAAGAGGACCGGCAAACTGAAGGCTGACTGGTCACTCAACACTGCCAGATTACCGGTGAAGTTGGCCTCACCGCAGCTCCAGTTATCAATGCAGCTTGCGTTTTCGGTCGTGAGGGATGGTTGTTTGGTGCCTCTGCCACTTTCGATACTGCTTCAAACAAGGTGGCATCGACCTCACTGGCTTTCGGACACCAATCGCCTAACTACACTCTTCACTCATTTGTCGTGAACTCGACCGATTTCGGTGCCTCACTCTTCCACAGAGTCAACA